TGCTTAGTGAATCAAGACGGTCCGATGGATCTTCTCAACCATCAACAGTATCAATCAAACACGTCTTTAGGGCGGGTTAGCAAATTGTGATAGAATCTGGCTTGATCTTCAGTTGCATGACGCAACAAGACGAAAGGACTCGTTCTTCGGAGTGTTCATTGTCATACCATGACAAATATATATATATATATATAGCCATATTGTATATTATGCACAAGTTTGCAAGCTCGGTCTACGTCTAAGGCTCAAGCCTTTAAGAGGCCCTTGAGAAATTTGACATCCATAATCCATATTATCCAATGACTTTCTGAGCGTTTCCTTTGGGGCCCGTGATTCCAGCGATTCCTATGATTCGATGCACTCAGGGCTTCTCTGTGTCGAGACCTGTAGAGGAGTTGCCAAAGTTTGCCGTTATCAAAAGATCCTGCAGCCACAAAGCACAGCATCAACGCGGCCAAAACATCATTAAAACGTGCAGGGAACAGTTGGCTCAAAACTCAACTGATGAGTTTCTGTTGCCCTGAAGAACCCCTAAGTCTGATAAACAAGGACAACACCCCAAAGATTGGAACTTGGAAGGAAAGGAACATCGGATAATCATCCACATGCCGAACAAGCCAGGCCACCCACCCACCCGAACCCGACCTAGCCGTTTGTCCAGCGTGTCGCGCGCCGCATGTGGCGCTTGGGACCCCGATCCGCTCTCCAAGGGGGCCGCGAGCAACATCTCCTCGCCGAAAGGACGCGATCCAATTGAGACACCAATCCAACCCGCGAACAACTGCACGTAGCATCCGCAGCAAGTGAAACAGCGTCTGAGCGTCGAGCGAATTCACAGGCCATCTCGTCCACGATGACAGCAAAACATATTGTTACAAGCAAGGCAGGGTGCAAACATCCTATAGCAACGTATGCCGTATGCCACTTGTCTCAATTGCAAACAGGTTGGTGACAAAGCTATGTAAGCACCCAAATCTGGATTGCCGATATCGACAAACACATGAAAAACATCTGAGCTGGAGGTTGATCCACCACGAGCAAACGGGGACAGAAAATGTAGCACTTCTTTGTGCAAGATCATTGTAGAACTTATGACCCAGGATCCATGAAAGGCATCCCCCCAACTCTAGTAGCTCCCCATTCAGGTCTGGGGAGGCCAAAACGAAGCGGACTTGGGGATGGACACCGGGCGCAGTACCCACGCCCCTTGGGGCGCCTGCGTCAGCTCCGGTGTGGCCGGCTCTGGCGCCGCGGAGGAGCCTGGCACCGTGCGGGAGAAAGTGAGGCCGAGACCGAGAGACCAAGTTCCGAACGAAACATAGATCAAACACCGAGACTTCTTTTTTTTTGCACGTGATGTTGGAACAATGAGTCTAATATATATATATAATATATATATATATTGAGTATATGTAAATATATCTATATTATACGGAATGTGTATATGATGCAGTATGTTATGCAATAATATTACAGTATTGTTTGATATTGTTTGGTCATGCGCAGAAACTTGTAGATCTACCACATCATACACCTGGCTTAAATACTTAAACAAGAAATGACATCACCGCATTTGGCTTTGGAATCAAACTGGCAACGCACTTGGTGCATCCACTGGATTTGCTTGACCATCTGCAGCCACAAAAAGGCCTGATAACAACCCTAGCACTTGTTGATGGAAAATATCCTGCCCCACCTGTGACAACTTTTCTTTCAGGTCATTTCAGGTCCATTTCACGTCCTGTGACGGAGTCTTCTACTGACATCTTTCTCCCAGTTTTCCAGGTACGCCCGAAACGCAAGTAACAGCCATGTGTCAGGTGTGTCTCGCAAGACAGCAACCTTCTTTTTATCAAAATAAGTATATTGATTGCTGGTCATGCAGTCGCCTTTTCTCGCCTGAGTCGCGGACAGAACCGTGATCGGGTCCATTCCGTGATTCGGAACATTCAGCAGCTCAGGCCGAACTTGCCAGTTGCAACGGTGTACTCTTTCGTCTGGTGTGCAATGGCGTGCACTGCATGTGCAAAAGAACATAAACCATTGAGAGGGCAAGAACACAAGCCTTTGTGATCCTTTGTGCACAAATTTGCAATCGTGTCCTTGTCAACCAAGGACAGGGTACTGAGATCGCGGACGCGCCGCGTGGTCTGCAAGCCTGTTTGTATGAGTCATGTCATGACCGACGTGCACGGCCGAGGACATCGGCGCACGCTGAAACCATTCCCGACCACTGAAAAACGTGGCCTGTGGTCGAAACTCGCCAAAGCGGCTTGAGGACTCCTGGGGTCATTCTTCATAGAATCGCAGTGACTTCAGAGCTTCGATGGCGCTGGCACCCCTTTCGATGTCTTAGACAAATGGGGGGGGTCCAAAAAAAACCCTCACTCTGGGGATTGGGCACAATCAACTCTCAATCCACCACAATTGAGGTAGGGGTTGCCTCCAAGGATCCGGCTGTTCAGGCACGTCGGTGTAAGCAAGCACGTGCTCTACAAGTCAAACATGCGTGGGACAATAGGGTGGACGTCGGATCCACCCTGGCAATCTCAATTAAAGGCGTCCAACCAGTGAAAACTCACTGAGACACTCCCTGCAACTTCCTCTGAACCAGCTAGTTCTCAGACCCTCTTGTGAATCCTTTGGGTGAATCCTTTGGGAGCTGCCAACAATTCGACAAAAACTCTTCGAAACAATTCCAGTCCGGCTCTTTTCTGCGTCCGTCCCTCTGTCCGTCCGTCGCCCCATCCATCGCCTTCGAAGGTGATGATCAGCTCTTCGCACTGGTCCAGAGGTGGAATCTGGGGGCGGAACAAACCGGAGGTTCGTTCCGTTTCGGGGCGACGCGACGCCGGAAGGGAGGATGGGGCGAGCCAGGCGTTTTGAGATGGCTTTGAGTCTCAACAGGTGGTTCGTGCAAACTGATTCATACACCAAACACTATTCAATGGGCCGCAGGCCATACACTGATTGTACACTTGGATTGGGCGTCAAATGCACACTAGTTGAATTTGCACTTTTAGATGCTGTTATATCTATAGTATGAAGAGTAGAGAACCCCGGCCAAAAACTATAATGCGATACGTCCATGCAATTTGCTGGGCAAACCAGGGCTTCTTGCAGCAATCCGGGTTATGGCATTTGGCCATGCAGGGCAGGACATGTTTCAGAAAGGACGCAGTTGTGGGTCATGAACAGAATTGTCAACAACCTTGTTCTTAGTCCACTGCACCATGACTGCACCCCAGTTTCGACAGCGAGTTCTAGCTTTAGAGCTTTCCCAACCATTACATGAGGCTACAAAATGTACTGATTGGATCTGTTGCGTAGGACCATGTTCGATGCCTTGAGAATGTTGAGGTACTCCGGGAAGATGCTGCAACAAGAATACGAAGCGTAGATGAGATGACATTGGCCCCTTTTTTGTAAGTTGATCCAAAGCCATCAACATTCACTCTCCCTGTGGCCTAATTCAGTGGCTTGAAGGATTGCTTTCGAAGCTGCCGTGTATTAGGGATGCCTAGAGATTCCACCAACCTGAAGCACTAACTTATCAGTGGTTGCAGGAATCTCGAATATAGGGAGAGAAACAACGAATGCTTCAGGCTTCATCCTTTCAAAGCAGCTTTGGAAGGGTCTGTGCTTTCAAAGCACCACATTACGCACACGTGCAGCCCACAATTGAAAAGTGTTGTAGGTGACAGTTCACAACATCTGGTATGTGAGCATCTTATCGCTGCCTGGCTACCCCAAAATATATAATGGCATTCTGCTTCGAGCAACGCTCCAATTGGCCGACTTGGCATTTCCTGTGAAATCGTACACCGCGTTCCAGTAGTTCTTGGTGGCATCAAAGCCAGCCTGTGCGCACGTGACAGCACTTGGACACAAGACTGTTGTTCTATCCCCACTCACCCAAAAGATATGTCATGGGCCCACACAAGCCACACAGCCACACATATACATATATAATATAGTTATACAAACACTCAGATACAGTTCTACAATGAACTGTCAATTTGAGGCTCTCTCTCAGGATTGAAGATGGGAGCACACACACAGTGTTTTGCGAATTCAAAAAAACGATCAAGATTTTGGTGTGATAGTCCAGAGTCCTGATATCTTGCAGGACCTCCTAGGGTTGAGCTCTGGCTTATCTGGTTTCATTTTGTTCAAACCATTGGTCCTAAAAATTCAAGCACTTTGAGTTGAGGGACAAACGCAGAGTCAGCTTCACTCCAGAAGTCAACGGATAGGTTCAACACAGAAACGAACATCGAGTGGCCTGCGCGAGCAAGTGCTCATGCTTGCAAGAGTTCGAAACACAAATTCCATGGTCACGAAACCAATCTATTCCAGCATACATAAGGAACAACAATAACCTCCGAAGGTGGTCACTAACTGCTTGGGCAAAAGTTCTATTCTACTGACTGCAGGAGACCCCCACATGGATGCTGTTCGAGTCGTCCTGTACTCTATAAATTAGGTATACAGTCATATGGTATAATTAGGTGACCTCCTCTTCCAAGCATATACCTACTACATCCTACTACTAACTAGGAGCCCGTGGCTTCCTCGGAACTACACTGAGATCAAACCACCAACTTGCAAGCGAGTAGGTTCACGTAGATATCTCCAATCTGAACGTTTCTCAACATGAGGCGGCCCTGAACAATGGGCTTGCACATGGGAATCGCTGAATATATGCTTTGGGAATTCCCTACAGGTTCCACACGTACCCATCGGGATTCAACGGGACACCGCCCGAATCGGGCCTCTTCAAACTGCTTGGGCCTCGGGCGTGGGGGAACCTTCCAGCCCACCACCGCCTCCACCCTATATACTGGCGATGGCCTCGAAGCTACTTCTTCGGACACCAAGTGATTATCTTAAAACTCATCATGGATAAAGCAATATATACATATATATATATACACATTCAATACATCATCATCAATACACAATATATAAAATATATTATATATACAGTACATACATCATCAATCATCGTCAATCCAAAATTTCCAAACAACCCGACAGGACCTCACAGGATGATTGTTGTTGGACCCGAGAGTCCAAGCAAAGTCCACGCGTCGTCTCGCCCAGTCCTGTTTTCGTCTGAAGACATCGGCTGTCAGCGGTTCACACAGGCGAACCGTTTCACTGCAGGTGAAGCTTCTCAAGAACTCCACGAAGGGGCCCAGCTGTGGATGTGCAAGCTGTTGTGTCACGTGCTGGCGATGCCCCTGCAACATCTCATCGCAGCCTGGCATACCTGGAGATGCTTCGCTCAAGTCTGGCAGGTCAACAACACGACGAATATCAGTCGCAACATCTTTCATATGACAAGGTGGCCCTGCTGGGATTGGAGGCAAAGGTCCTTTGCGGACTCCAACTACGCCGGAATTGTTTACTCCGACCTACCAACGACCAACTCAGTGCGGAAGTGTCTACTCCAACCCGCTGCCCCACTAAAGCACCCCTGTGAGCTGCATGGTTCATTTGGGTTCCAGGTCCTGAGTCCAAAAAACAGCGAATCAACTTTGTTTTACATATTATGTTTTGAGGAAAGAATATTATACAAATGTGTGTGTGTGTGTGACATGTATCATTCCCTTCATCTCCTGTTTTATCAAACAAAACAATACATTCCCAGTATGGCCCATGAGTGGCTGAGCACCTTCTTGACCGGGTGGGCCACCATACAAGAGCCGGTCCTATCTTTCTTTGCAAGAACCTTTGCTCAAGCAAGGTTGCACACAACATGTTCACAAGGTAGATAGGAACATGTTGTGAACATGGCGATTCAACACTGGCAATCGGACGACATTATCCTACGAATGACATGGGTCGTGTGCCATGCAACAAAGGCAGATGCACAAGGATCGTGACTCACCGGTGGAAGGTGACCCTTTGAGTTGGAAAATTCCATCGATACGAGGCATGGTTGAGGGTGTTTCTTTTTTGCCTATTCTATTTAGCGACCCCCCAATAAATAGATGGAAAAGTAAAACAACGCTTAACGTGTACTGGAAATTGTTTCTATCTATTTGGGCACCTCTATTATTCTTTGCATGAATCGGATGCTTCCTGGCACCCCAGCGGCTACGCTGCAACACGAACAAAGAACATGAGGGAGATGAGGTTTGAGATGGGGACATATGAAACGCTAAATGAAACGCACATATCATTTCGGCAACATATCGAACCTTAATATGAAGGTACATTCACCACCGAGATACCAGACATGCAGGCCAGCAAAGACTCCTCATACAGCTCCGAGTTCACTGCCCGTGACACCGAGCGTTGCACCGGGCTTCGTTTCAAGAAGTCGACGGTCTCCAACTCACTCCTGGCCAGCTATTTACAAACCGCTCCCCCGGCTTGGAACAACAACCATCCAAGCCAGTGGTGTCTCACCAATGGTTTAAACATGTTTAAACAGTTATTTGTCAAGGTGAATCTTTGCATGAATTTAAGGTGCAGTATGGTACAGTAATGAGAATGAATTCTCTGCGCAAACAATTGTTCTGTTGACGCCAACACCCTGTGGAAGCAGAAAGCAGAGTTTCTTGCAGTATAAAGCCTTGACATCATATCATTGTTGCTTGGATTCCATATGAATTTCCACTCAAAAAACAGCGGATGCTTTCTATGAATCGCTCTCAGATCTCGCACTGGTTGGATGGCAGGACACACCGCTGCTGTGTCCTCAACAGTTTCGCTGTGAGGTTGACATCCTCCCGAGAATTCGTCGGTCCATCCAGCCACAACGTGAAGCAAAAGCGCTCCGCGGACGAGGGGCGGACGGAGTGGAGGATCAAATCACTTCGGAAGAACCTCTGAAGGTGTGTGGTGTCTGAAGAATGTGTGGAAAAAAACACTTCCTCTGACAATTCACTGTGTTTTCCAAATATGTCAAATCCCGACACAATAAACAAACATGTGCATATGTTCGGGTTTATACAATAACATCCAGGGAACACTGCCCGGCGCATGAGCGGAGCAATGATGATGTCAGGTTCCAGGAAAGGGTGCAAGACCAGCTCACCTCCATCACCATCTGTCCAATCAGGATTCAAGTAGACCAGGCATGTGATGCTCCTCTTGCTTGGAGGCCCACTGTTGTCCTGGGACAAACTCTGACAACGACCGTGACTGTGTTCACCTGCACTTGGTGGAGTGACTGGCCTTTGGACAATTCTGTACACATTCCTTGTGTTATTCATGCCACTTCTTCTGAAACTAGTCTTCCCATCTGGCCACGCCCGAATACTTCACCAACGCCTGACTCAATTGCTTTTATTTGCTTTTTTCAACATGACGTTGTTTCACACGAACACAGCTCTACCACCAAGCCCCCGGAGTCAACGAGAACCCTTTGCTACACATTCCGGATATACATGTAAACATGGATAAACACATCGAAATTCCAATACAAAAACAAACACAACTTTGATCAACAAACTTCAGGCATCATAGTGGCACGGAAAGCAGCCTCCTTGTCCGCCATTCCGCTGCACCTTCAGCGTCTTCGCCCTAAAACCTTCCTCCAAAGCAAGCTCGGGCCACCAATGGTTCAGCCGCTGGCCTGGCCGAAAGGAACCTGGGTGGCTGATCATAGTATGTGGCGGTTCCAACAGAGGTTGAGGAACGCTATAGACTTTTGATAATTAGGTACCCCAGTAGGGTCCTACAAGGTCACTTATAACCTCTCTTGGTTGATCATATAATTCCTTCGTCCGGAAAAGCAGTTCTTTGCGAAACATCTTTACTTTCGCAAACTCCCCTAGAAGTCTTATTAAGGTTTGATTTTTCCACCGTCATACCGTACCTATCTTTTGCAGATCTTTCGGGAAAAGACGGTATATTTTGGCGAACTCACAAAGAATTTTTGCGATCAAGATAAAAGGCTCTCACAATATCTCAATGAACCTAGGCCTTATGTCGACCTTTTTATCAACTACCAGTAACTACCATCTTCGACTGTGAAAAACTGTTTCTGTTGGACATGGTCATTTATAATAGGAGCAACGCTTCTCAGGGTTGTCCTCCGAACAGTCCCAAACAGAAATTCATGAAACACCCCAAACTGAACTGAAACTGGGTCCAAATGTGGAGGATGCTTCACTTCCAAAATGCAAATCTGAAACTGGGTCCAAATGAGGAGGGTGCTTCACTTCCAAAATGCAAATCTAATCTACCCAAGATGACAAGTCTACCTATAAGTGAGTGCTCGTACATCTGGGGGGCTTGCCTCTATGATAATCTGTTGTATCGCCCTAGGTCCTAGATATCGAACAGCATGTCTTCCGGTATTGCTCCAAAGCCTACATTTTCTTTGCTATCATACGGTATGAGTATATTTCTGGGGGTATGACTGTCTTCAATGTTACCTATGGCTCCCCACATGTTTGCCAACATTTGGTGATGCCATGGCGGGTCACATAAACAGCTTGACACAAGGTGTTTGGAACATTTCACAGTTAACCTTGCCTTAAAGACTGGATTTCACTCCCAAACCAACAGCCCTGGAAGAACAAACAAAACAGCCCTAAACCAACTCCTCAAACCGACCGACTGCGCCGCGTCCGACCTGCCCGGTCACGTGTGACCCCCGTTTGAGAGGACCACATGGCACCCCCTACAATCAACTGGAAAGTGGTCTGAACATGTCGAACCCCCCCCCCTCCGGGGCTTTCCTTCGAGCAAGGGGTCGTTTGGGCATTTTCGTTTGGGCATCCCATCCACTCGATGTGGGAGGTGTCCGACTGCCTAAGGACTCTTCGAAGAGCAGTTCCGCAAAGGACGCCAGCGGCTCCTGCAAGGTCTCGTCGTGGAGGTCCTGGGCAGGGGGGCACAGGTCTGGAGCTCTTCGGTCACCATGAAGATCCATGGTCGATGAGTCAAGATATATATATATATACAATATACAGTATATCTATATATCTACATACTAAGCAAAGCCCATGAACACCTTATAAAGCAAAAAACACCGCGAAAACAACGTTGGCTGAATTTGCAAGTTCTGCCAGCCTGCAAGAAGATGATTGCTCCCCCATTAACCAATGTCATACCAATGTCCAATGTCAAGCTCCCTCCATAATGCATTGCGTATTATATTTGTATTCTACCCCATGATGGCTCTAGTAATCAGTTTCACGTCTAATAACCAGGTATACCTTTCCTTCCCATCGAACAGGCATCTCTTGCAGGTATATGCCACAACTCCAAAGAGATTCTGCTAAAGCATGGGCAGTCTGGGTACCCAAATCAGTCAAACATCATCCACATACCTACAAATCACATCAACTCACTGACGGATGGATAGCCTCACCGCGAAGCGACGGATGGACATCGATCGCCCGAGGATCTGCTTCGAAGATGGACGGTTTCTCAAAGGTGCCGCTGCCGAACTGGAAGCGGTGCTGCGAGAACTTCCTGGGACCGTGAGGCGAAGTGAGAAACGAAAGGACGAGGGTCTCCAGGAACAGGCATGAAATACAGGTGACCTGGCAGGAGATACAAATGTATACATACAAATACCCAAAACAGGAAGTGCAACTATAATCAGAGACAAGCCACAGTCGTTTTTTAGTATTTTTTTGCAGTTTTGCTGTTACTCTGTTTTGATTCCTCAGGCCATGTAGCAAAACATAAGCAAGACTATGCTTGCTTGAATGTGTTGTGTTGTTAATGTTTTACAATGATATTTTGCCACTTTGTTCGTGGACATGTCCTTTCTTTTGGAGGAGGCCCCACGTGCAGGTTCAAACAGGCAATGTAAACCATGAAAGCACCAAACAATCCAACACATGGCCCACTTATTGAACTATCCCCACATTGTCAAGTCTCCCATCTTCATAGGCTTGCTTGGCCTCTGCCCGCAAGGAGACTGCCAACTCTTCTGGCAGGAAGTCATCAATGATGAACCAGCCCTGCTCGAGACCCACACACCCAAATGTTGTCCAAGGTTAAACAACAAAAAACAATTGTAGGAACCCTTCATCAAACTATTGGAGGTCCAAATCATGCGCAAACAAAAACCATCCCAGCATCTGACACCAACTTAGTTGGCCAACTTAGTTGGCAGTTGCTTTAGACAAAGTCAAACTATGAAATGAATTTCTGTCAGATCCTTTAGCAATAACCACACTGAGGTATGACTCTTCTAGAAAGCAACCCCAACAAAAACTGAAACAGGTGCTCCAAAAACCAACACAACAACACAACAACACAAGCCTCAATTGCGGCCGATGCCCCAAATCGGGTGAACCATGACATGTAGCCCAAAGGGAAACAACACCTATAGGATCTACAGTGGTTCCCAGAACCCATCGCTGGAGACCTGAACCCATCGCTCCACCGTCGCCTGCTCTTTGAGCTGTTGAACATGGTCTTCGTCCACCAGCGGCGAAGAGGCCGCCCAGTCCATGGCGGCAGACCCGGGAACGAACTTGAAGGGCTCGGTAGATCTGGGAAGGTTTTTGGTTCTTGTATATGTAATATATGTAATATATATAATATGTGTGGTAAGCTGCGGGTGGAGTGGCAACCAAGTTGATTAGAGAAACAACGAAACAACAGTCTTCGGGGGTTTGCTCCAGTGGCACATGCAAACAGTTTACACAGCTCACCAGGGTTGGTGGTTGAGAAACCATGATCTTGTGAATGAATTTGGTGGGGCATCAAACCCACCAGGGTATCTCTGCAGCTGATCGGAACGGTCAGTTCCAACACAGAAAGCCCACGGCTCCACGGAACCGCCATATGACTTGCAAATGGCCTCAGAACTGGCTTTGTGAAAGGCCTATATAACTTGGTGTGTCTTAGAGCAGCAGCCAAAGGCATGTGCGAATGAAGCAACAGATTTGGTCATACCGAGTGGTTCTTATCCTATGTAGACTTCCTCCTTTTTGAAGGAAACTGCTGGAGAGTCTCACAGTACCAGTAGTAGCCATTCCAGCGCTGTCAAATGATCCTAAACAGCCACGTGTTGTGGAGCAGTAGAGAAACAACATGAAACAAGCTTGTTCACTTGTTAGTGTGATACATACCGGGATCTGCTTGCCGACTCCTCTCCATCCACGAGCAGTGTCTGGTTTTTGGAGAGACAAGCTGGACATGGGACAACTTTCCCAAGCTTTCATGCAATAACGAAACCAACGCAAATATATAGTTCAATAGACACAAATTCTATGTCATTTGTTCAATCCGATCGGTTCACTATCCGACTGACATGGATGTGGGTCTATCTCTTACATCATCCACATTGATTCACTTCGCTTTGTTGTAATCTCTTGCATCATCGGGACGATGGCTGGTTTAGCCGCTTGCCAGAAGTACCACCATCCCCTATTTGAAGGAACTTTTTTTTTTGCACCTCCAACAAGTCACCTGTGTGACGCGGCCCTTCCGAGATTTTAAGAACCAAAAACGGTCCTCCGTTCATGTGCTGAGTCCGTGGCAAGCCAGGATACTTGGCATTGAAGGGGGCGATGCGCAACTCCTCAGGCGAGGAGTTGTGATCTGGTTTGATCTCGTGACTCAGCAGGATGCCGGAGAGAAGCTTATGTGCGGAAGAATCAGAGTGGCATCACCAAGCTTTACGCAGTCAATACATCATAGTACTGTACTATATATGAGGAATTGGATTGATGATGCAATATATAGTAAAACACATCGATTTGACTATGTGAGGAACCTCTCATTAGTCCAAGGTTGTAAGGGCCGCCCAGGCGGCCTGGGCGGCCTGGGCCTTCAGTTTCTATTCTAGGTGGTTGGGGCGAGAGTTTGACCTTCACCAATACCTATCAGTTGATCAACAAGCTCTGGGCGATGAGATTCTTCGAGGCCACACCGTGGGTAACCAAATGAGTTCCCAGTGTTCCCTATCTCCATATGAGCAAGCAGTGGTTCATTCTGATGTTTTGTTGTTCTTAGCACTGGGGCACTGGGAATGTATTGGAACCATTCAACCTGAATCGCAATCCTGAAGTACGAGTAAGGCCACCCACAAGGTGTTCAGTTTCTGCTTTTCTGAAGTCATCCGGCTGGTGTCCCTTGACCATTATATACATGTACCAAAAATATCAGAACACGCGCATGCATTAATTCCTGCGCCGCATTGATTCATCCAAGCATGTACGTTTACTCCTCCACATGAAACTCTTCCAAGTGAGATGACCAGTTGGGGGGCGATCATCGGACAATTCATTACAAGTCCAACGGAAGAAATCTGGAAAATAAACACATGAAAAACCATGAAAGAACTTGTTTGGGACTTGTGTTGTTCCAGGAACAAAAAGGGTATCCACTCCAACGTTTCAACCATAGCTCTTGAGCCATATCTTACAAGGCTACATTTACAGTATATAGAATCTTTAGAACTTCCAATTAAGCTGTGCAAACACCTCCAGGTGGTGTTTAGGTTTCTTCCTTCAACCATAGCTGGTGTTTATATAGATTTCTTCCTTTAACACCAGCCTTATAGATGTAGTACACAATTAGTGTAGGTTCATGACATGTTCTGAAGGAAGTCAGCCGAGCAGCCTTTGAGGACTCGATCACCGGCTCAGTGTGGCAATGCCTCAAACTGATGAACCGGCTGGAATCCGTTGTGGGGAACATTCAGAACCCTGTACCACGCCTGTGCGATCCAAACATGAAAAGGATGTTCTGAGCTCTTTACAGCTTATGCGGGATATTTGGGAGTCGCAAAAGGGCAAACATCTCCCAGCCGGTTAAAATTCCAGGTTCCCTCTACCAGCATGTGGTTTGATCCGGTTTTCTCCTTTTGAGACAACCCCAAGCACTTCAGCATTTCTCAGTTTTGAACCACCTCAGATTGAGAGGGCCAACATCGTCCGGTCTGACTTCTCACAGGTCCCAGTCTTGGCAGTTCGACATCGAGAATTTAGAGCCACATCGTTCTTTTTGGGAGTTCGTGGCGTCAGTTTCCAATCCTCTTTAGTGTTTGAGCAGCATTGTTTAAACAGTTCTGGTTCTACTAAAGCTGCTGGATTTTGGTTGCCTCTTCCTTCTCACAGCCATCAAGGTTACCTGGGAAGCCAGCAGCCTGGGCTAAACATTTTTCTGGATGAATCTGGTAGCCGTTCCCTTTTGGAGGGTCATGTGCTTTCTGAGTACTTTGGAGGCTTCAGGCAGTTTGTTTGGTTGTGAGGAGGAGTCCATCCTGCAGTTGAGGTCCTTAGACTGAAGGCACTGAACGGTCTCTAGGAAAACACTCAGCAACATGATAGAAACAAAGGCTAACCGCTAACCTCAATTCAGTATCAATTCACAGGATTCAGTTGGTTGTCTGTGTTGTTTCTTCTTCGGTGCACCTACGACAAATTCATGTCTGCAAACATTGGTGAGCACAAAAACTTATTGAATGAGTTGAGAAATGAGAAAACGTGGCCAAAACACTGATGACATCACGGCTTCTGTTTGTTGTTCACCTGCCCCTCCTTTTGTTTGCAAGTGGCAAATAGAAGGTGCAATTGGAGCAGTCCCTCACACGGAACTGGCGTGTGGCCACCTTAAGGCTGAGAGGCAGTGGCCACCTGCAAAAAGCAACAACTTGGAACCAAGGATATCCTTTTGAGAAGAATACAGGGTCAGTTTGGTGCATATACTTATTGGTTGTACAGTTGCACACTTGGGGGGTTATATCCCCTCTATTGATCAATAGAAAAAGGATGAAACAGGCTATCTATGCTTGGAACATCTTGGAACTACTCAATTGCCTTGGCATTCACTGACAGTTTCGGATTTGAAGACTTGGGATTTACGTCACGCCTCAGGACTACGGCTCACACCTCACACCGGTGTTTTATGTCTTGCAACAAATGGGTTTTGAATCACTTGAGCCCTCGGAGTTTTGAAGAGAAGCAAATGCATTTGTCTAGCCGATTGTGAATGGCCGCATTACAAGCTCTGGCAAAATGTATACGGAGTACAAAGAGTCTGGCTCAAGTTGGACCGCTATTGTATCAGTCCAAAGACCATGCTGCCATGCTCTCAATTGAGTGAATTCACCAATACTTTCACACGTCGCGCAAGGCCAAGGTGTAAGATTCCAAGAGGCCACCTTCACTGAGGCAAGCCTTGTATCACGTAGGAAAACACATGGAAATCACCGGATGAGCCTCAGCATCCACCGATCAAACCAGCAAAGTCAGCGACCACCGTCACCGTCACGTACGACACACCGTCACTTCGTCTGAGCCTCTGGGCCCAAAAGGTGCAATTCTCACAATTCCGGATGAAGCTGGACGAGGTGCATGGCCTGTGCCACGGTCTTTGAGGCCGAACAACATCCCGACAACGAAACGCAGGGATGAGACGATGTCCGGCCGGGCCAAGGGGGGGAAGGCCAGCAGTCAATCCAAGCGGCGGAGCTGTAGGGTCAGAGTGTTGGTCAGAGTGTATCCAGCGAAATAACGAGTGATCGGGAAACCCAAAACATGACTCATGTCAATATTAAAAGAAACAAACATAAGCATCACGGTTGGGTTGAAGACCGGATTCCATGGAAGTGAATAACCTGAGACTCAAGACTTGCAAGGCCTTGGGGTATGGCCATGTCGGCAAGTCCGGTTAACAAACAAACAAACACTGCCAGTTGTACCACTACCTGTTCAATTCATTCCCAAAAGTAAAACCATTAACCATGTGGCTAAAACAATTGAGATAAGAACTTTTGCTGCCAGTCCTTCAAAGATAAGTTCTGTAACCAAATCAAAAGGTCTTCAGGAAAGTCTCAAAGTCAACACAGCTGGTAAGTTGAACAATAGGGATTGAAGGATGCAGGGTGTAGTCTCCAAAATTCTCTCAGGACACCCGATCAATGCTCTGGCTCCTGAAGGATTTATATAGTAACTATATATAAAATAATATTTGAATGTGGCAACATTCTCTACAGGCAAAACTCTTTGGCCGCTTGTGATGGAAGAACACCGTAGGGTTTCAGGGTATATGCTGGTAAAACAAATTGAGGTGACCTGTATAGTAGGGCAAACAAACGCACGACGTCACACCGCGACAGGAACGCCCTCAGCTGCCGCGCCCGATAAGAACACGACAATTCGCCAAAGCCTGGGGAAGCGCCGCAAATGAGGCTTACTTGGATGAAACTCCACACATGCTGGGGTACTTTCTTGGAAACCACCATCTAGTTCTCTAAGCAAAGGTGTCGAAGAGCCCAATGTTCTGTGGCTCTGCTCTTGGAATGTGCACAGAAAAAGTAAATACGTCGCACTTCGATGCACTTCGACGTCTCGTTTCTGCCAGGTGCGTCTTGCGGAGGAAAGAATCGAACCCGTTTCTGTGGAATCCCGAAGGCTCACGACCAAAGTCCGGACAAATCCACAGTTCTGTCCATCTCTCGAAACGCATCTATGGATGACCTGCAATCCGCACGTGGAATCTGAAAAACATGAAGTGCGACTGCGATCTGGAAACCACTTGCTGCC